AATTACAATTGTTTAAAAAAACTTACGAAATAGATTACTTTTAAATTTTCACAAAAAATTAAACCAAAATGAAAATTTAAAGAAATATAGAAGACAAGTGTGTTTCTTTATACAATCTCTTTTGAGACTACCCTCACAGGGCCTTTCGTTTTCTATGTTGTATTTGTATTACTCATAGCCTAAATAATTTAATTTTGTATAGCAATAGTGTGGTTAATTGTTAAAAATCCACTGGTAATTAGCAGTTTGTGTACCACCATGTTTTTAAAATTTTTAAGGCTTGATTGATCTACTTCAAGGGATTGAAAGATTGTATATTTATTACTAGCTGTGTCCGTGCGGTTTCATACGCATGTAATTATGAAAATTTTATTTTATAAACAATAAACATTTGTCAAATTATCAATAGCAAATGTCAAAATGACATGACATGACGAACGTTCGCAATCTTTCTTTCTTGATGTTGGCAGCATCTTATGGTCTCTTTCCCACATTAGGGTTTTTATCCAAAATATTTACCACCTAAGTTTAATATGTGAAAATATATAGCCTAAGGCGTGACGTAATTAGGGCTTTTTATTAAAAAAAGGAGTTATTCAAAAATATGCTGTAATTGCTGACATCTTAGGTAACAAAGTGTGTGTTTACGCTTTATTATAATTGTATAGATATAGGACATGTATATGTTACAAAGTTAATGTTGATTCTAATAACTGTGTACTTTACTATTTAAACAGGACTTAGATCTTTTATTTACTGCACATTGATAGTTACATTGTAATTATTAATGCGAAATTAAAAAAGTAGTTATGTTATGCTTATGCTCTTAAAAGCCGGAACAAACACGGTTTAGCGACACAGATGGAAAGTTTTAAAAAAATCTGACTTCAATAAACCAAGTTAATTCATGTACACTGAATATTGTTCAATTTTATTAATTATTTCATTAACTCATCATCTCCCCTGCCTTATCCTACTCCAGTAGGGTCGACGCACCGGGTTTTCGTCCTCCAAAGCATTCTATCATCCGTCATCTCAATCATCACTCCCTTCATCATGTCACCTTTTACGCAATCCATCCATCTCTTTCTATGTCTACCTCTACCGGTGTATCACACTCATAACTAACATCCTTCTTGTTACATGCGATTCATCCCTTCTCATAACATGCCCATACCACTCTAACCTAACTATTTTTTCATTAACTATAAAGATATAAAGTCAGAAGTTAAACTAATAGCGACAAAAAGGAATGGATGGACATAAACAGTAAATCGACTACACATTAGTAGCATAAGGGGAGATAATGTAAGGTTATATGTATGTCGCAGGGCATGCAGCAGCAGGGCAAGGCGCTGGCGGCGTACCAGAAGGCGCTGGAGCTGGACCCCAGCAACGCGGAGGCGCTGGAGGGCTACCGCGCTTGCTCCACGCAGCTCAACTCCAACCCGGAGGAGGTCTGTATATTGCATTACTTTAATAGGTCCACTCATTGTATCTTTCATTTTAATGTTTTGGTAAACAGAGGTGAAATCCCACATAATTATACTTCATACAAATATTATAAATGCGAAAATTTAGATGGATGGATATTTGTTAGAGTTTGTAGCGTAAACTGCTAAATGGATCTCGATGAAATTTGGCATATATGTAGAATATACTCTGGAAGAAGACGTAGACTTTTTACTTTTTTTTAATTCAATAAGAAGGAAGTCGCTGGCAAAAACTATTGTAATATAGTTGTAGCTAATCATACATGTAAACTAGATTTATTTCGCAATTATATTGATGCGGGATCTTGAATAAACATCAATAGTCTGTGTTCTCAGACTATGTTCAACATCTGTGCCAAATTTCATTGAGATCTGTTGAGACAATATTGAGATATCTAGTAACAAATTCCATCCAAAATTTCACATATTTATTTTATATTGTGAAATAAAATTATTCCAGATTTTTTAATGATTTAAGCTTTAGCGTAAATAATATTTTAACTATAGTTTAGGAGTTTTTGAATGCCAGCAACACGACAACACAAAAAACAGTGGGAGCAATTCCGCGTTTCGTCTGATGAATGTGGTTCCGGAGGCCTAATTTTAGTCCCTTTGCCTTTCCACCCTTTTTTGAGAGGATAGGATGGGAAGGAAAAGTGGATTTGACGGTGGAGGGGACGCATAGGAAGGGGAAATGTCCTCTTTA